AATAATAACAATAATAATAAAAATAATGATTATCATCATCATCATTATCATCATCACCACCATCATCATCTTCATCATTGTCATAACCGTCACAATAATAAGCATAATCATAACAATAAAAAGAATAGATTACGTTTACCTCTATCCCAAACGAGTATAAGCTCTGAGCTTATTATGTTGAATAATAGAAAACAGGTTTCTGTAGGTATGTACAAAATTTCCGTTTCTTTGAAATAAAAGTTGTTGATTTTACAGATCAGAGAAACTTGCTTATGGGACATAACTCGTATATAAGGAAACTTTTACGGACATAAACAACAGGTCTGGCGTGATTTTAGTTATGGGTTTTTTTGTGTGTGTTTTTTTTTTTCGCTTCGCATAAATCCGAAGTTCATTGTTCTCTCTGTTTCCACAATATTGCTACGTTAAGAAAGCATAATTTATCATAGCTATGTTAAGAAAGCACATTATTATATAAGTGTCAGTTGTCCCAGGCCGCATAATCTTTATTGCGACGTCCAGAAAGCATAATAAGTATCAGCTGTCGTAGAATTAGCTAAACATCCCAGCCTGCCTTCTGTCGTGGGTGATAACGAGGCTGTAGGAGAACTAGAGTCGGTCGTTACCTTAGAGAAACTCGTGGTAATGTGTGGTGGGAGGGAGTGAGTGCGTGTGTGGGGGTGAGAGGAGGAGGGGGGGGTTAACACTTTCATTTGCCCTCGGCAGCCACGGGCTGTTAAACTGGGATTATAAGGACCAGCCCAATGATTATGGAGCAGCCCTGTGGCGAAAAGTTAAAAATAGCTCACCCATGGTTATCATGCCGATGTTTTGCTAAAACATTGCCCTCTTGGGTGTCCTATAGAGGTGAGCAGTTCTAATTTTATTTCGCTTTTTGGTTGTTGTTGTTTGTTTGTTTGTTGCTTTGTTGCTTTGATTGTTTGTTAGTTTGTTTGTTTGTTTGTTTGTTTGTTTGTTTGTGTGTTTGTTTGTTTGTTTGTTTGTTTGTTTGTTGCTTTGATTGTTAGTTAGTTTGTTTGTTAGTTTGTTTGTTTGTTTGTTTGTTTGTTGCTTTGATTGTTAGTTAGTTAGTTTGTTAGTTTGTTTGTTTGTTTGTTTGTTTGTTTGTTTGTTTGTTTGTTTGTTTGTTTGTTTGTTTGTTTGTTTTTGGTAACCACAGATTCCCTATTCTTGAAAGCTAGGAATCGTAAGAGTTGAGTTGGAACAAAATCACAATTTTCTTCTGATGTGATTTCTTCTGGAGAGTCCATTATTTCGTCTGGTGGGTCCGACCTCAAAACAATTACTTAATTACTTCCGGAAAGTAGTGATTAATTCCGTTATATCCGACCCTTATACAAATATATTATTATGGTCTCTTCCGGCGATCCATGATTACTTCCGATGAGTTGAACACCTAGCCAGTTACCGGTTACCTGGTGGGTTTCGAACAGCTTCAGGATTCAGGAAAACTCGATTTCTGAACACCCCAAGGCACCAAATTTTTTTTCTTTTAAAAAAATCTAGAAATAAAACAACAAACAATAAATAATGCAATTGGTAACCATTGGTTTACTTTAAAGAATAATGGATACATTTCGCGGCCTCAGTGCTTTTTGTAGTGTCTCCATTTTTAATAACTATGGAATCAATTCATAACAAAGAGTGAGCTTAAGAAGAAGCCACATTTTCACTGTTTTAAAAAAATGGAGATACGACAAGAAAGCACTGAGGTTGCGATTTTTTCCTTAACAGTAATCGCCGCAGTCGATTCCGGGGTCGATTCTTCGCCCAGTCCTTGTGTCCATTCACACCACATTAGTTTTAAGTGTTTTTGCTAGTCTCGGATATCTTCAAGCCTCTGCTATCTCTTCGGATGAATTATCACTGTAACTGTCCCTTAACTATTCCTTATAAACTACAACACAAAAGGGGGGGGGGGTAGGTGGCCGTTTTTTTCCGAAACATTTAACAAGCTTTGGTGTTTATATATAGCACATTGGGAACTTCCCTGATAGTGTTTGACGTGAGAATGGATTGCAAAACATTATAAAGGTTAACGGTTCTCGACTTTCAGAGATTGTAAATTAATGTTTATCTTCTTCGCAGAAAGTTCACGTCTTTAACCCCTGAGTGTATGAAAGGTAAGCTTTGCTCAGAAAATGAAGGAACAAAGTCAGCTTGGCTTTAGTAAGAATTTTACGGCACTTGCAATGTAATAAGGTCATATAAGTGCCGAAGATTAGAGGTGTCACAAGAGCGTAACAAACACAAAAAAAGAAGGAGGAGAGATCAGGACGATAGTGGTTTGATAGGAAAGAAGGAGCAAGCTTCACCAAAGCACCCGCCAACCACCCACGAGGATCTAAGTCAAAACAGAGAAAAATAAAGCTCAAAAAGGGTTTAACTCATTAACTATTCCCATGTCTCTGTTTATCCTTAGTTTTGACAGACCATTGTGTTGTTGGGTTTTTTTAAAGATGTTTTACGCTGCCATTGTCACAGTTTATATCATTTAGGTGGGCGTCACCTTTGCCTTTCGGAGAGGGATACAACGTCCCAGCAGAGAGATCGAGTTTATAACTGGTCGCTTTTAAGGACAAGGGGGCTATCCCGAAAAATGCTGTTTTGAGAAAATCGAAGGTAAAGTTTTGGACCCTTGTTCAGTTTCTTTAAAGGACAAGGAGAGTTTTATTTATAACCAAACGAATAAACACACCAATGAAACCAAACTTCTTTTTAGGTAGGGCAATGCCCACTTTTGGCGTAGGTCAAGATTTCTGGAAACCTCCGAAGTCTGGGTTAGCCCGCTTGTCCTTAAAAGCGAGCATTTACTCCCCACTCGGGAACGGGTTGGGTCTCCTGCCCTCCTGCGTGCAAAAGCAAGGTGCCTAACTGCTACACCACCAGACACCGTTCCTTTGCGTTGTAAATGGTGGGGGGGGGGGGATGGGTACCCGCCAGAGACAGCGAAAGATTTTGTCAGAATGTTTATAATGATTAGTGCCTGCTATAAAAAGGCAGCTTGCTCCGAATGCTTCCCAGGAGGTTGAGATTGTTTAAGACTACTATCAGGTCTCTAGGGGTAATAATGTACAAATGC